ATGCACTTCAGCAGCAGCCTCCAAAGTAGGGCTGCAGGCCACGCTTCCTTTCTCACACACTGCCAGAGATCCTCAGCCTCGCTGGGAATCGCAGTGCTGCAGGTCAGGTGCTCAGTGTGTGATTGCTTCTCTAGTAAAAAATACCAAAGCCACGTGTCGGTGCTGCCAGCTCCCTGGGTGACTGGGATGCAGCCTATTAGTAGGTGATGACGTTCAGCTTTAAGACCTCACGCCTCTGTTCTTACACACAGAGATCAGGCTCCAGCTCATTTGCTGAGATACAAAAAGCCCATTTTGGAGAAGCTGAAGCAACACCTCCCCCCGCCCTTCCAAAGATGCCGACTTACAAGTGGATGCCAACATCCCCCTGACCTCCAAGCTCTTTGGCAACCTTTGCTGAGGGCAACTCAAATTAGCGCCTTCATGAATGCGCCGCCCTGGATGTTCTGACACTGCCCTTGGGGAATGTCTGTTGCAAATACTTGCAGGCATGTAAGTCTCAGACCTGCAGAAAGAGCTTTGCATTCCTTGGTCAGGGCCAGATTCTCAGCTGTCGCCTGGCAGAAGACTCTGTTGGCTTCAATGAAGTTACACCAACTTGCACCAGCTAAAGACCTGGCCCCAACACCTCCTGTTGAGACGGTGCAAACAGGAGACGAGTCAAAACACAAACCCAAGAGAGCAGCCAAGGAAATGACTCCCCGGTCTCCAGTGCCTGTCGGTTGCGCCACCCCTCAGCCACGCTTCTAAGAACGCAGGACTGCAGACGGCACTGGAGCTTGAACTGAACAGTTACCAGGGCCCAGCAACACAGGGCAGTTGCACATCTGGGAGGCACTAATTCACTACAGATGCCAGCTCAGGACCTGGCCCCCAAGTATAGCAGCATGGGGAAGGCTGGGAAAATAGGTGCATGTCATGGGAAAAGGGATGTGCGCGTACACAAACACTAACGCAGCACAACAGGTGGAGACTGACAAACACAGCCCCATCAGAGATGGTGCATGAATTCCTGTCTGGAACATCATGGAAGTCACGGTCATTCCCCTGGCCACTGCTGCCCACACCCCAGCGAGACTTGGGGACTTGGGTTCTATTCCTAGCTGCACTGCATTGCTAAGTCACCCCCCAAACCCCCTCCT